CCATTTCACTCTCGTCCGGCAATGTTACCTATCCTCACGCCTACTCCACCAAGAAACACTAGCCGACTGGAGGAAGAGATGGAGGAGGAGAGTGAAGCGGAACTTGACTCGGATACAAAAGCGGACTACATTGATAGCCACTCTAGAGCTCAAAATACTGATACTGTACCTCAAAGTGGTTGTGCTGAACAGATCATGCAACTTGACACGTCTGAAGATATTAGAGTTGGATCACCTGATGACGGCTCAAATAATATGGATTCGAATTTCCACCTAGTTGAGAGTGCGGAACCTGAAAAATCAGAGCATCACCAGTGCCACGGAAGCTTGTATAGGGCTGTGTCAGTGCATAGGTGGCCACCATTGCATGATCCCTTGAGAAATAGCGTTCCACCACCAAATTCAGGTACAATCATGCTTGGTGTACACCATTATTTACATTTTGCCACGCGACATTATTCAATTAAACAATTTAAAAAAACAGTTTTTTCATCCAATTATTTGTTGCCAACAATTCAAATGTCAACAATGGTAGCATAATCCATTCAAGTAATACATGTACTACAAAAAGCAATTTTAAACTCAGAATATGGTACATTTTTGGCTTACAAAGTAAAATGTATTATTTATTTTTAACAAAGATAATTACTTTTTAAAAAAATCATTTTTATCTCTTGCAACCACTAGTTTATTCATTTTAAGACTTAGCACATGTTTCATTCCCATTTTTTAAAACTCATTTTCTATTCAAATGCATTTCAATTACACGTTCCCTCGATAAAATAATTTTGTATGTAGATCTATAGACTATTACATTTTCTATTTTTAAAAATAATCATTTTTCACAAAACTTATTTTCAAAAAATCTTAGCCAAACAAGGATTTATTTATATGTAAACTTTTGTTGATGCAGTAGATCCACTGTCTGTTGAACTAAGCCCAGAGGACACCCTCTATTCTCAAGTAGTCTCAACCATCCTTCAACACCAATCAACCACCTTTCAACATCAATCTAGCCGGTGGTCGGAGTCTTCCTCCACCTCCTCCGCGTTCTCCAACTGGTCTGCCACCGCCACCCCATCATCCACCCACATGGACGGCGGCTCCCAATGTCTCCTCAAATATATACTTTTTACCGTCCCTTTCCTCCACGCCAAGTTAACAGACGCCACTACCTCCAGCTTCCGCAAAGGCATGCCACAGGAAGAGCTCAATGCCAACCATGTTCTTGCTGAAAGACGCCGTCGTGAGAAACTCAACGAAAGGTTCATCATATTGAAATCTCTTGTACCCTTCGTCACAAAAATGGACAAAGCATCAATTCTTGGCGACACTATAGAATACGTCAAGCAGTTGAGTAAGAGAGTGCAGGAGCTGGAGGCTCGTACACGAGAAATGGAGGCCGAGCAACGTTCTAGAACTGTTATGGACTCGGCCATGTCAACTAGGCTAGGACCAGGGTCAGTTAAGAGGAAAATGAGGATAGTTGAGGGCAGTGGTAGTGGAGGAAAGTCGAAAGCCCTGCATCCAAATCCGAGGCAGGTAGCTGCGACGGCGGAGGTGGCGGTGGAGCAAGTAGAGGTGTCCATAATAGAGAATGATGCATTAGTGGAGCTGCATTGTCCTTACAAAGACGGTCTGATATTGGACATAATGCAGACTCTTAGGAAGTTAAGACTAGAGATCGTGGCAGTGCAATCATCTGTTAATAATGGGATTTTCCATGCTGAATTGAGAGCCAAGGTATGATTTACTGATCAAGATTTTAATTTTTAAGGTTGTCACACTTTCGTTTTCAATCCCTTCTTTGATACATTTTTTTTTAATTGTTTTTTTCTTAAACTCATTTTTAACCACGTTTGATTAATAAAATAATTTCACAGGTCGACCCTTAATTTTCACATTGTTCAAAAATATCAATTTTATGAAATCCGTTCTAAAAAAAATCTATCAAACATGCCATAAATTAATGTCCATATTAATTAGCTAATATTTCTCACCCTTTTTTTTTCCTTTTTTTTTTTTTTTGCAGGTGAAAGAGAATGTAAGTTGCAAAAAATCAAGCATTGCGGAAGTGAAAGGGGCAATAAACCAGATAATTCTTCAACTAAACTGATGAAAATATTCTGCAATGATATAGAATTTAAGTAAAAGGAGTTACGGAATTTTATTCACGACTTGCATCTATTAATACTTATAATTGTGAAAAAAATAAAATTCCGTAACACCTGTTACTCAAATTATTATCATTGCAATATACCTATTTATATTAATTGTGAACTAATAATGTTAATGTTGAACAACAATGTGTTTAGGCATAACATTTCAGATTCATTAAATCTTACATCTATGTTATTTACTATCTTAAAGAAATAATCTCCTACCCATGGTGGGTACGATAAATCATGTCCACCGCTGATGTGGCAATGCTTGTCAAACGGTCAAGCCTACAATTTTTGACAAGTCAACTTTTAATTGTCAAAAATTGTAGGATTAACCGTTGCCACGTCAGTGATGGGCAAGATAACTCTTACCCATTATGATCGTGCTACATGTATCGAATTTTTTTATCGAATCTTTTACCTACTACTCACAATGGAGATATGGACCACACTGTATGAATTTTTAAATATACGCGGACCCGCGCATTATGTGAGAGGGGATAATCAATTATGTACAAATGGATTAGCCCTACCCACTATAGGTAGAAAATCATTTTTGTACTATCTTAGCCCCATTTGGCTCCCATTATTCCATATTAAATTATAATTCATTTTTCTCTATTTTCTTATCAACCACACATTTTATAATAAAATAATATTACACGTAATGTCAAAAATTTATTCTTCCTTTTTAACCATACATTTTCAAAAAAAAAAAAAATTTATTATTATTATTATTCTTATTATAATGTGGAATAATGGGAGCGCTTAATGCCTTGTACACCCTAAACCCATAACTTATACCCACTGGATATCTTAATATAATACATTTAGTAGCCTTATAGTCTAATTTACCCGATTATGTTTGGTGTTCGTGGGTTGCACTAACAAACAACCTAACATGTGACAATTACAATTCACCCAAAAGGTAATATGGCTCGTGTCTTTTTGGTCTTTTCACTATATATATATATATATTATAGTTTACCCTCTAGCTAGTTCTGCCCCTAACGAATATACAATCTTATTCGGTAGCACCCATAGCCTTCTTTTTAACATCAACTTCTCTTGATCTCGATGCTTCAATTACAACGGCTTGAGTCGATTCATCGCTAGCATAATTAATTGCATTTCTTACATCTCTTTGTAATAGGATGACCACTAGATCCTCATCTTTAAATTTGTTATCAATGTGTGCTTAACTTATGAAAATGATACTAAAGTCACTTAAATTTGATTCTCTTTTCAATTCATCTTAAAACTAAACAACTTTCAAATAAATAATCGGTCTCATAGCATCTTAGCAACAGCAATCCTCAAGTCTCTAGCGCTTTTAGAATCACCAACTTGCCTCACTATATTGTCAAATATGTGAAAAATTATAATGTTATATGCAATCTCAGTTATCTCTTCAATTTCAACTCAGCATCTACAAAAGTCTTTAGGAACCCTTTCTAGGACTAAAATAGCACCAAGTCTTTTGAATTGTGTTAATTCGACCCTCAAGGAGGGCTATTGTGGAGGTCATCTAATGATCTTATCCTAGAATCACAAATGGTGAGAAGCAAGGGTTTTAAAGCAAACAACGAAAGGATTTATCCAAGAAATTGAAAATACTTCCTAGATGACAGCAAATATGACTCAAGAAATCACATATTGACTTAAATTGTATCTCAAACTTAATACAGACAAATTAAATATATTCAGTATTGACTCTTGAGAGCGAGTATCATAAAGTTCACATTATTCTCTATTTCACATGATCAGCTACACAATAGAACAATTTATGAACTCATAAACATCTCTGATACTAGTTTTGTTGAGTTATGGATACCCAAAATTAATGAACTCGCAAACAAAGAACATGAAATGGAAAGCAGAAAATAAGAACACCAAATTGTTCACCCAGTTCAGCCATAGCCTAATTTGGAAGGCTCGGAGGTAGCCCAAATACTAAGCACAAGATCCTTCAAGAGAGCGTAAACAAGCAGCCAACCAGAAGATGATAGAAAATCCCTCTTACATCTTAACTCTTAAAACCAAATTTGAAACGAATAGACTAGGTAGTGTTCACCGAACCAATCTCCAGATCAAGTAACACGCTCTCTTGCTTTCACTCTCTTACAATGGGAAATATCCAAAGAAAAGAAGAAAGGAAGAAGTACGTAGAATTTACAGAGAGCCAGAGATGATGACAGAGAAAATGGAGGTTGATAGAGTGAAGTTTCAGTCGTTTGGAGGAATCCAACTACTGAGATCTTTCTTCAACTAGCAAAATCCCGCAGAACCCCGCTCAAATCCCAACAGTCAATCACATCTCTCATTGGATCAAATCTCTCATTGGATCTGTTGACACGCAGCCGTCATCCGAGTCACAGTCCCACATCATTGCTAACCACTCCAACAGTCAATCACATCTCTCATTGGATCAAATCTCTAGCTCCACCACTTCACTTGTTCATGAATTCAGTATTCTCACGCTTCTTGATTGCATCAGAGTTTACAAACCATGTGAATTGGTAGCGCTAATTTGCTCACCACCATTGCCCAGAAAAAGATCACAGCATGCACACACGCATCGTTTGGCACAAATTATAAAAACCATGGAAGTTAGAAATTTATCTTGAAAAATATAACCTTGGTATTGAATAATATAAAAACCCATCCAAAATAATATAACCTCAGTCAATAATAAAAGTACACCAAACTCTGCATCATATAATATAATTCTTGATTAGGAGACATGTCTATGAAACGGATTAACATGAATACCATAAAAAAATAATAATAATTTTACAGATCAGGAAAAGAAACCTCAAGCAAAATTTTACAAGCTTTCTATTGATCTTGCTCTTCAGCATAGCATTCGTTCAATGATTTGGAGACTCCTAATATATCAGTTATTGGTGTTTTTGCATCTTCTGTGTAATCTCCATTAGTATCAGACTCCTCTGCTGGAGATGAAAAGTCTAAGGACATTCCCCTTACTAGATTCTCATAAGATGCAGAGAGATCTTGTGAAGTGAGCTGATGGTACTCCAGAAGCTGGTTGAGGCATTGGTTTTCCCTTTTCAAGTTCTCATTTTCATTTGCCAATCTCGATTTCTCAGCAAGAAGTGCCTCCAGTTGAAGCCTTACCTGCAAAGAAGTTTGAATAAAGGTGCAAGGTATCAGTGTTATCCCTAACGGACATATTTAAATAATAGTTGTTCATTTGTGTACAATGTTGAACGTGCTAATATGCTTAAACATCAAGAGTAGGGTGGTGAAATTTTCCTAATATTTGAAAGTCCTTGATTTAAAATAACTCCTAAGGCGCGGTTAAATGTGTTAATCCAAAATGCACGATCCATTAGCAGCATAGCAAGCCCACAAACCCCTCTCAGCAGTGTCTTACATGCCTAAAGGTAATCTCGATTGTTGATGAACTACAAAGAGCATAATGTGAGCAAAGATAAGCAATAAATAATAAAATTACAAGAATATTGAAACTAGCAAGAAATTAGCCAAAACAACCATTTGATGCTCAAAATCACGTGATATTTCAATCAGATACGAATTTATATATTTATATTAAACTCCACCCTAACTCAGACATGTCAATCATTTGAAGTACAATGCAGCATACCATTAGAAGGAGAGCCACAGCAAAAGTACCATAGTTTATTGTGATATGTGATTACTAGAATATATTTGCTTTGGATTGTTATTAGTTCTACCAATTAACTGATGCAAGTGATGAAAATGATTCACATTCCACTAATCGTTCCTAAATCACAATATCTAAAGCATCGCATTTTTGAACAACAATTTTCGGTTTTTTCGAAAGAATATGCAAAGGTACTAAAGGAGAGTAAATTATAATTACCAAATCATCTTCCTCTGGCTGGATACCTTTACCAAATCCATCACGAAGTTTCATGTTCTCTTCCTCTAAAAGACAGCATCTTTCTTGCGTAAACCTTAAATCTGACTTGATTGATTTCAATTCTCTTGCCAAGCCGGCCACTTTTGTTGCCATAGAAATTGCCAGCTTTAGACAAAATCACAATCTGTCAATATAAATCTCCTATAATAATCAATTATAATCAAAAGTAAAAGATACCAACATTTTTAGCTCTATTGAGCTGCCCCAATTCTTTTGGGCTCTGTGCATTTTGGTTATGGGAATCCTCTGTTTGATTCTGAGGACATTCTGGAGAATCCAACATCCTTTTCAGTCCTCTTTTGTTTTCTTCACTCTCTTTTGCTTCTTCCTCTTCCTCTTCATCTTTATTTTCGTTTTTCAGCTTGTCTTCTTCACTTCTGGCTTTTTCCAGTGTGGCCTGAAGCATTTCAGTCAATGTGGGAGGTCTAGCAAGATCTTTTGCTCCCTGAAAAACGAAGGAATTGTTAATAAAAACCAAAAGCTTCAATGTAAAAGTTCAAGACGCTGGTCTTTTGTTACCTGTAGAGCATTCTCAAGATTATGAGAAAGCTGAGAAAGAGACTGAGAAACAGAGTCAAACCCTCGGAGCAAAAGCATGGAGTCTTCCTTCAATCTCTTCTGCCGTGGCATTGCTTCATCATTCTACACAATTATCACAAAACCCATAAAAATCCATCATCAAATCGGAGAAAAAAAGAGTGCAAAAAACCCCCCAATTCAAGAGTGATAAAATATCAAACCATTTGAACGGGCAAAGACTGATCTAAAGGCTTTCGATTCTCTAGAAGCGAGTCGACCCGGCTGCGTAGGGTACTCCAGAATCTCTTATCGGAAGACGGACTGAAGATCGGGGATGAAGATCCCATCAAGCTTGGCGATCTCTGTAAAATAGCAAGAAATGGTTTGACATTAACCGAAAATTATTTAATTAAATGAAAGAAGGGTTTTAAGGAGTAAACATACCTCTTTGATTGAAGAAGGAGATAGAGATTCTATAGAAGTCGTCATTTACAGCTATCCGGATTCGTTAGAGAGAAAGTGAAAATGAGTTTAATATAGAGTGAGAAGAGGGAAGAGAAAGTGGAGTTCGTAACGGCTAGTTCGTGGGAGTGTTTGTGTGGACTGGAAAGAGAGAGATGGAGAAAGCGGCGTCGTTTCATTTCTCAATTATAACTGGGAAAATTAATTACAAAAAAAATAAAAGGAATAATGTGGCTGCTGGGATTCGAGCCCAGGTCTCCACGGCCACAACGTGGAATTCTTACCACTAAACTACAGCCACATTGGTTGTTCGTTTTCTCCTACATATTTTATTAATTTCATAATATTTTCTTCTTTTGCTAAGATATTTTCCTCAATCTACTAGCTTCAGTCATGCAATGCAAAGTAGTGACTTGTGACCATGCAATCATTGACTTCTAGTTTATTTATGTAATTGCGGCTCATATCTCTGAGTTAAGATTATAATTAGAATAAGTCTTAATGTACACTATTGTGTACATTAAGACTTACAGTCCTCTCACAATGGAGTGTGGGATCCGCAATTTTTTAAATTGCGGACCCCCCACCATTGTGAGAAGAGTCTAATGCATGATGTACACCCAAATATGTACATCAAGCATTGCTCTTATAATTACTTGAGGACATCTTCAAAGACGACACCAAATTTCGGTGCAAAATGGTGTAAAAGGAATTTTAACTTTTATTTTTATTTTCCAAACAAATTGATTAAAGATATTTGTGTCATCTGTGTTATATATTTTTTAATACAATGAATTATTATTATTATTATATGCATTTATAATAAATTTTAATAATGTAAAAAAGTAATAGTTAATGAATTAATTAAAATGAGAATACAAAAAAATTAAAATACAACAAATACGATTATTTAAATTTAACACGAAATATATTGCAACAACCACATGCATACATTACACTAATAATATTTAAAGAAAACGATACACGAAATTTATTTAACAAAATTCAAAATACATTGCACTATTTTTTAATGGCATGATTTAATATTTTCTTTTTTTTTAGTGTTTCTATTAATTATACTATATTTTTTTATATTTATTAATAAATTTAATATTTTCGAACGTAATTATTTATTTAGTCATTTATGTAGCTGTAATATAAATAAATAAATAAATAATTTTTTAAATAAATAAATTGTTAAGAATTAAAAAAAAAATGATTAAACACCGTTCATTTGCGGTAAATTTTGGTGTAATGATTGGAGATGATTTTTAATTTGATACAACATTTAGTGTAAAATGGTGCAAAACTTACCTCAAATTTTGGTGCAAAACTAGAGATGGCTTTACTACAAGTTTTTAAGTAACTTCTCGTAATAAATAATTTCGATTCGATTGTAATAGACGCATCCTGCAAACATATCCACAAAAGGAGAACTGGTTCAAATAGAAGACTAGTATCTTGAAATCAACTAGTTGAATTATTTGACTCGATAGTTTCTACGGCACTGGTAAAGTACATGGTCCATGACCTACACCAGTGAGGAGGGAATTTGGACTAAGAAATTGTACCTCTGCCATAGGTAAAAAAAAAAAAACACAGGCACAGGCACATGCTTCAAGTAGCACATATCGATATATTTACATTTTACAATCAGAAACTACAAAATACTTATTGAGCCACGCTTCTACACCATCTATGTAATCGAACCTTCTTATAAATATAGAATACCATAGTCACCGCATAATACTAAACACTTGTGGCCTTCCTGGGATTAGCTCATCAGTAGTAGTATTAAAGAAGAATTTGATTATAGCCTTCCGTGTTAGTGTTCATACTACTTGGGAGGCCTCTCCAAGGCTACCCAGCCGAACCTTCCTTTCCTGAAATCTGATAGGATGCGAAATGCTGCTTGATGAGAATCTCCATTAAACAACTGAAGTGCAAGCTTCTGAACAAAACTGACCATTCGAAAATTTTATGCGCATAAAATTAGCTCATGAATTTAGATGAAATGAAGGGTACGGGATGAGCAGCAGTGTAATGTGCATTCTCTAGCACCAAATAATACAAACCAAAACTTACATTTGACCAACACGACCGTCAGTATCAATCTTGTAGCGATCATGAAGAGCTTTATTTCCTGTTGCAACAATGAAAGAATGTGAGCACATGAAACATTCTCTCTCCCAATTTTACATTTGCTTGGATTATCTGGAAGAAACTGGTGCAGCAGCAGATATTTAATTAAAATTCTAGAAAATAAAAACGAACATCGTCTAGTTCAAATCACATGCATAAAAAATTTGCACATATTAAAGATCTTCGCCTCTTTTTTTCCCTATCCTCCTAGATTGATGGTATGCAATGTGCACAGCCAGACTTCCATTGTCAACCCACGGGAGTAACTTACATGGCTACTTTTGCTCATATTTTTTTAAATCTTTAAAATCTTTTCCCAAGCTTTTCAGCTATTCCCCTACAACTTGACCAAAAATTTGGAACCGTAATTTTTTGTTAATCAACATCTTTTCTTCCTCACTTTTGACAGTCAAAACATACATATCGAAAGGATATAATCAAAGACTATTATGCTACATATCTACTTTCATTTTATTTTCAAGTTTGTATTTCAATTCTCTCCTTTTCTATGTGAGTTTATAAATACATCAATTGGAAACAAATCTTCAGCTATTCGAATGTTTATCTTCGCAACACATGGTACATCTTGCTAATTCAGACATTCGAAATCCCAGCTTTGTTTTAATATGTAGAGTCAAGTATATCTGCCTATTACTTGAAATCTTCATATTTACGAAGATAGGAATTGGCTTGACGAATCATCCACCTGATGATGTCAACTATAAGACCCGTTTTATCTTAAACTTGTGGGATTAAATGCATCACAGTTTCCAATACTTGCACCACGTGTGGATTCTATCCCATCAGAACATAATCAGATTGAAGCTACAAGTAGGATCTATTGATAAACTATAATCTGATCCCAGTGAATCTGAAAGAATAGCAGTGTCGCAGCAGACCAATTTAAACAGATATGACCACTTGAGTAAAAATTTTAAGTGTATGCTAGATAAATATGCTCACTTATCACTTGACTTGGGATATTTCTTGAAAATTCTTCAACCAAAGAAATCTAAGCTTATACAGGATAAGAACTAACCTACTGTTGGAAGCCTTGAAAGCATCTGAACAAGAATTGCTGCAACATCAGAAACATCATAAGATCTCTCCCCAATGTCATCACATATTGCGAGTTTAATGGCAGCTGACTGATCATTGATTCTCATTGGAATTATGCCTGGAGAATCCAGAAATTCTAAGTCTGTCCCGAAGCGGACCCATCTTTTCTAGGCAAAACTTGAAGTTAGAAACTATAACAAGTAGAGTCCATCCAAAAACAAAGTCACTATAAAATGCGTAGAAGTGCTTATAGCTAACCTCTGAAGTTCCTGGAAAGAAACAACTAAACTTTATCAATTCTTATAACTTGAAATTTTCTAATTTATGATCTACCTGGACCTTACACATCAAAATAAATTCCAACTAAACCCTAATGCTTACATTACTATTAATGCCAGAATCAAATTCTGAACCTTCAAATGAACATAGCCATATTTGTATTATTTATTGTGTACTTCAGAAATTTGACAACAGCAGGGACAAGACATACTTTAGTTCTCTAGTAACACCCGGTCTTGGAGCTGCAGGACACATTCGTCGCTTCAGCAAACGGTTTATCAAAGATGATTTACCAACATTGGGATAGCCAACTATTCCAGCTCGAACCTGCAAAAATTTCAAAAGAACCTCAGAAGGGAATCTGTAACAGTACCAATTGCAGACGGGTCACCATAACCAAAATCCAGAAGCATAAGAACTTCGATTCTCTTAATTTACCTATTATAATGTCAAAAACATAATGTCTGCTTCACAATTACTCATTAAAAAATGGTGAAAATCGCTTTTTTCTTTCTAAATTCTCATACTGGCAGGAAACTGATTTCTGACCCACTGACCAACTCACTTTTTCCCAAACTGAAAAATGGATTTGTCAAAAAGTAGAAAGATGTGTATACTACAACTTTGGAATATATATATATATATATGTATATATATATATATATATTCAGTTCGGTAATTTGGCAAAAAATATAAATGAAAAACTAAACTAGCGTCTGTCAAATAAATAGAATTTCTAAGTTATGTTATAACTTTGGTGGATGAGCAACTACTCTGAGCCTTCAAAATATCAAAGAAAAAGTAAAGCACACAAAAAAAAAAAAAAAGAACATTGGCAGTTGCAAGAAACTCACAGGACGAGGAAGTAGTCCTTTTGCTCTGCGTTTTTCATTAACACCTCCTGCCAATGACTTTGCCAACCTACTTAGCTTCAGGGTGCCCTGAAGTGTCCAAAAGACGGTAACCATTAAGATCATCCTCACAGTTGTGCTCTTCCAGCCAATAAATTCAAAAGGTGTTTTTTAAATACCATTCCGAGCTTCCCATTGGAGAAGACGACTCTTGTCCCCTGCCTGGCATAATAGCTAGCCCAAGTATTTCGGTCAGCAGTGGATATCATGTCCTCTCGATTCAAAACAATAATTCTCTTTCTATTACCCAGCCATGAATCCATCTGTTCATGAAAGCATAATAAAAAATTATGCAAACATAGATAATACAGCCATTATTCAATAAGGTAAGAAATAAAATCTCAAGGAGAGGTTTGCAAAGTAATGACATAAATTTTTGGCATTGGACCAATCAGTTGCAGTGTACACAATACATAGAACTGTTAATTACTACAAAAGAAACCAAAACTATGCAGGAGATTTTTGTTATGGTTCTTTATTTTCCTTTCTTTACATTATTTTGGGGGAAGGTGTTATATAATTGAAAATACTAAAATTCCTTCCCTCAGTATAATAACAAAAATATTAGAGCCATGAACAATAGACTAAGCCTTAATCTCCAAAATTAGGGCTCAGGTGCATGAATTCTTTTTTGCAATTATGCTCAACCCATTGCTATATCTACTGGAAGATCAATTGTAAAATCATTTGCAACCACATCATGAGATGTCTTGTTATGCCCACATCTCTCTCTTCCAACATGTTTTACTACAAAAGCTTCACTTTAATAAATAAGAGCTTTAGGTCTTTGTTAGACATGCTCCAACCTAAACTGTCCTTTCATGTTTTACAACAAAAGCATCGCTTTAATAAATAAGAGCTTCTTTAGGTCTTTGTTAGACATGCTCCAACCTAACCTGTCCTTTCCTTAATTCATTTTGTCTTTTTAATGGCCCAGCACTCAGTATCATAAGAATAGATGGTGTAGTAACCATTCTCGAGAAGATGTCTTCTGATCCTATACGTACCGTTCTAGTTACATTAAACAACTACGGCACTTCTCTATATTACTCGCTCTAATTATTTGGATTGCTTCCTCCTCAAATCCTCTTTCCTTGTTAATAATCTAACCTAAAAGTACAACTCTTTAGAACAACGTGATCCAATATAGCAACTCCACTAATATGATCATTCCTACTATAATTGAAAGGGCATTTCTTTCTAGTTAACGTAAAACCTTAACATTCCTAAGTATTCCTCCAATCCTCCAGAGTTCTAACTTGAAGTATACAAATTGAGTTTGCTGCGAGTCAAACATGGGGTCTATTGATTGGAAGGAAACTACCCTAACTGTCTGACAACAAACACCAGTAAGAAATATTAGTCCCATGACCTAGAGAAAAGTTTGTTTACATTTTAATTCAGTGACTCAACAAGCCAAGCATGTGAGTTCTTTCATTCTTTCCCATTATCAGGTTGCATGAACCTTAATAAGCCTGCCAGACCCCACAAAAAATTAGAATATAAAAACACAAGGAGTTGCATGAACTGCAATTCTGTAACTTCAACATTTTGTGCAAGTAGCAAAATTGAGTGTCATTATTCAGTGGTCATAGTCTCATAACTACCCCACCCCGGATGTACGTTGGCACCATTGGTGAAATGTAGCTATTCATCAGCGAACTTATACAAACAGTGAAGAGTGAAAGAAAAGTATAAAGTGTACTCTCACAAGTTCACATATTTGAAAAATAAGTTATACAATAAACATTGACTGAAAACTTAAAGATACATTTGTCACCCATAACCATTACATTTTTATCTTGCAGTCATTGTTAGTATTGTTATTATCGCTTCTGCCATTCTCATCATCATCAACATTTCAATTACAGTGAACATATATTTTCCTCATATTCACCAAACAACTTACAATTTAATAATCAATTCAAAAGGAATATTTAGAGAAATAAATTGTCCTAGAAAATTTGGTTGACAGTCAATTTCGTAAATTCCCATTAATTAGGTTCGGTGTCAGGATGAGAACACATCAACAATGGTCCAAACTTACAAACAAAGAACTCACATCCAACAACTCGAGAAGAATTATTTTAAGTACTTTTAGTAATACAAAGGATAAGGGTTCCAATGATCCATCAGCACTTATCCAACAATGCAGAGAAAGTACATCAATTGTGTAAAACTCCTAGGCACAATCGTCAGCAACAGCAGTTCTCAGATTTTCACGGATAACTTTAGGTTGCTAGGCAAGATACAACTAATCAATTACTAAGGAATCATCAAGAAGCCACAAATACTGCATGATGGACATATATCTAGACAACCAAGAAGATAAAATCGAAGAAAAAGATATTAACCTGTGGATGACTTGTGGACATAGGTATCCTTGCATCTCGAACCTCTATAACAACATCCATCAGTTTTAGCTGATCCTTGAGTTCTTTTTCAGTTTTTGCAACGTGACCTGGATACCACTATCAAATTGCCACCCAACAAGAGTACAAAAGCAAATATTAGATATATTTAAAAAACTATCAATCAGTTTGCATCTTAAAAGATCAGCAGCAAAGTCCAGATCTTATTCCTACCTGAACTGGGCGTAAAGTCTTTGTCCAGTGATAAAGATCAGCCTCTAAATCTATCCAATCAAATTCTTCAGGGACACTCTCTAAAGTACTACTCAGCTTTGAACGCTCATTGCCGTAAAATCCACCACCAACAATCTGCAAGGTTCCAGAACGTAACCATGTCCATTATTCCACCAAAATGTTGTAGGATATTACATAGCTATGAAGTGAGAAATCCAGAACTGGAGATCCTTCATACTTTCATAATGACAAACTCACAAAAGGTTGTTAAATTAAGCCATTCACCAGAATAGTGGCACGTCATACCAAATATTATCAAGAAGCCCTTAATGGTAAGGAGATATAGATGATGGGGAAGTGATGCCTGATATACGCAATCGCTAGAACTATCGAAGTAGGAAAATAAATATCCAAATAGCCATCTGAGAAATGCGTAGGCAACAAATACACGTAATCATCCTTTGGGCCTCATTTCATAGTTTCCAAAACTCGGATACTTCAACAAAAACAGAGTTAGCTTCCTCCAAGCTGATCTGATTGGGAAACACAACAGTGACCGAAGCATTCTTTTCAGTTACCACCATGGACATTCTCTCGATGCAAATCATTTAGTAAGCCTAGTATCACCATCAATTTTAATTTTGAAGAAGTAAAAATTAATATTATGTATGCATATGGGTTTTACCTGGAAAAAAACAAAGTTTATCACACATTTCATAATGATAAAAAGGAGTACTTGGTAAAGCTCATTCAGACTGCAGGAAAAGAAAAAAAAAATAAATCCCGAAAAGAAAAGGGACGAAAAAGAGTGGAGAGATGTCATGACAATGATCTAAAGCATCATATAGTACAGAAACATATAAGCCTAATATTGGATTAATCTGGTATTGCATATATAAGTAAAATTTATATAGTTACTTGGCCTACAAATTCCAAAATACTATGCCCCCCATTATTTTATTGCAAAAACCAGCATTCTCAGAAAAAAAAGAAAAATAATCGAGGCAGCTATTCTGCAAGAAATCCCCAGCTCCAAATTTAAATTTAAATAAAAGAAAATCGTACTCAAGTTCAAATATGCAGAGTTGCATTACTTTAACCACTAAGCAATAAATTTATGTACTAAAATAAAGACATTTAATAGGAAAGTCTCTAATTTCTTGCCTGGATGGAGGACGAAGAAGTAGATTGACGCGCAACCGTGAGAGAGGCCGAGGGTGGACAGTGGCGGCTGCTGAGGCGGTGGAGTGATTCTCCGGTAAGTGTGCCTGCAAGGCTGTCAAGCCAGAGACCACAAAGCTGAGCTGTCATCGGTGGAACTCTCAGTTCGCCAGACTGAGAAACTGAAAGGATAAGTTATCTTCAAGGCCTGTCTGGCTAAAGCTTAAGAGGCCTCTTGATATAAATTTCCAAATGATTTATAAATTTAATCAAAATTAATTATTAATTTTAATCTATATTCTGAACTGTTGCTTATAATAAACACCAGGTGCAAGCAACGTGCAATGCACGTTTGCCTAGTTTATATTTAATAGTTTTGTTTAAAAATTAATTTGTTGTTAATAAAGATGTTATTTTTTTGGTTAATTAAATAATTAATGATGTAATGTTTACGTAATTGATAAATAATTAGATGTGTGATTTTGATGTTGTGATGTAAGTTGGTGAGATCGAAGAAAATAAGCAAAAGTTGACAAATTTGGAGAAATGGCTAAATTGTAAGGGATCCAAAGTTCGGGGACTAAAATGTAAATACTTAAAAGTTGTGCCGAACCTCACGATGAAGATTTGAGAGTGCTCGGAGTCAATTGGATAAAGGAAGACGTCAATGGAATCAATTTTAGTCAAAAGATGATCATAAATCAATTTCCAACCGAAAAGTTATGCTCCGATGTTTTAGTTCATATTGAGACCTATTTTTGGCATAGAAAGTGATCGAATTGGAGAATGATGTCTGAATCAAAGTTGTAGCCAGATGAGTTAGCTTTCGAACGCATTTTGAATCGCCTCAATCGGATATCGGAATACAAAGTTATGATAAAAACACTGAAAGAAGGTGCAACTGCCTTAAAACAAGAAATTCCGTTACATAATCCGTTAAAACAACAAATTCCGTTAGTTTTTCCGTTAAAAATAAGAAATTCCGTTACATAGCCACTTTTAATATATAGAAGATTTGTAGAATTTCTTACTATTTCCTTTATTATTTCTCTTTATAAATTATTTTTCAAATTTGCCAAATGAGGCTCCAAATGGTAAAAGAATCGTCGTACTTGATTTTCAGATCTCTACTTCAAAATAAACTTGTTTAAAACTACATGTAAGTGGTAGGGGTTGGGTTATTGTTGGGATTTATAATAACCTTAAATAATAAATACCAATTATATAAGGTTATTCATACATTAAAAAATGATATACTATGTGTCGATATTCAGCTTATAATAAGAATCCACTATATAAAACATTAATTCATTGGTGGATTAACTAATGATGAGTTTCAAGAATCAAATTCATTATTCACCAATGGATTAATGTGTCATATCATCATCGTTTAGTTAGTATAAGCTAAAACCAATACTTGATAGGTCATTTCTCTTCGTAAATAATTTTAGATGATTGAGCTATATTTGATTAATCAATCGAGATGAAGGAGAAAATGCTTCCACCTATCGATCCAAGTAGAAACGATTTATATCCAAGTGGCAGAGTCGGAGCAGGGCTTTCACTTCATAAGAGTAATAGGAAAATGTGTATAAACGTCATTTTGAAATTGAATGGCAAATTTTCTAGTATCTTCATGAGATGATGAAGATCTTATATTTTTACATAAAGCTCTATCTGCAAAAGAAGTGAGAGATTGCAATGAAAGAATAGATGGAGTCTATGAAACCCAATCAAATTTAGGACTTGGCCTGCGTTTGGTAACCATTTTCATCCAAATTGTAGAAAAGTTAGACATTATACAGTTACATTAGCAGGGAATGCAGTACAAGAGGCAGGGAGGGGGACGGCCTTTTTTGACCAAACAGGGACTAAAATGCCCAATGAGCCCTTATTCAAAAGTTAGACATTATACAGTTCCATTAGCAGGGTATGCAGTACAAGTGGCAGGGAGGGGGACGGACTTTTTTGACCAAACAGGGACTAAAATGACCAATGAGCCCTTATTCAAAATGCATTATTAACTACAATAAGGGTCCCACTGATTTGACGGGAAAAATGCAGTCGGTGCATAATCATAGGCTGGTCCCACTGATTTGACAGGAAAAATGTATTTTTATGGTAAAAATGGTTACCAAACACAGGCTTGGTTAATCTTTCGCTTGTCATGAAGCTATTGGGAACAAATGGGTTCGCTTGGTGTGATATAGAGAGTGGAATGCTCGTTTCGTGGCAAAATATTAGACTCAACAAAAGGTATATTTATGAAGATACTTTTTCATCAACTAGTAAGACGCACGTGCATTGCACGTGCCATAGTATAGTTGTCTATATGATAGCGTTAATATAAAAAAAAATTATTTGTCTTGATCATTAGTTACACTAAAGTTAAAACACTTGAAATGATGATAGATGACAAATAATATTAAGAGATTTGATTCAAAACTTATTTTCTAAACTTTGTGTTTGAAGGTCTCTCTGTTCTTTTTAAAAAAAGACAGGGCATAGATGATTAGGTGTTGATGCACTACTAAAGAGATAATGAAGTTCAACATAGCCCTCATTTTTCTACCTATTGAGGTAAGGCATTATGTCTCATTCATCTCGTGCTCATAGAATCTCCAATTACATGTATCAGTTGCACAAATATTTAATTTCTTTACCAAGACCTTATACAAGACGTATGTAGTCAAGATTTATTAATTAATGATAATACAGTGTAGAATTTAGGACAAATCAAGGATCTCTATCAGTATTAAAACCACAACACAACGAAAAATTTCATCATAGAGGCAAAAAGAATGATAAACGATCGTCTAACTTCATAAATTCCGTCGAATATCTTTTCAACATGTTCTAATGATACTGTACATTAAATCCATTTTAAAAGAAATCAAAATAATCAACTTCATAGAAGATGTTTGCCTACCAGCACTGCATGATGTAGGATGATTCTTCTGAAATCATCAAGGGCATGTTCTCTTTGCCATTTTCAACCCGTTTTCTGTTTTCGATTTTTCAAAACAGTGAAAACGCGTTCTCTATCCTATTTTCGAAAACGCGTTTCTGAAAACGGGTTGAAAATTTACAAAGAAAACACAAAACGACAATTT